TTACTGTCAAAATGGCAATCCTGAATGAGGTATGTGTTATGAATGGAAGAGAAGGCGGTAAGAAATAAAAATTATGAGAATAAGGAGAAAAGATGATGACTGACAATTGACTTAAATTCAGGGAAGCACTCATATGGGAGTCCGTTCCAGAAAGTAGCAGTTTTTGGAGAAAAGGTTCTGGAAATGAGGATGATTTGACCCTGTAGATGGCATGTCCTAGCAGTAAAGGTCTGAATTGGTGCAACTAAAGACTGGAGCTCTTTTGAACATTTGCTGAAGAAAGAAGATCTAGAGTGGAAAGTAAGTCATCTTACCACAAGATGGCATAAATGATTTTGGAAAGTGAGGATTGTGCAGCTCCAGCCCAAATATGACAGCAATATTCCATTTTGGGTTTAATCTGACTTTTATAAAGATACAACAGGGCAGAAGACATACTTCCTAGAGCAATATAGTGAGCTGACCCCCTTCTTCTGCCTCCTCTTTTCTTCTTTTCTTCTTCTTACTCCAAGCAAGGGGCTACCAAGAGTGTAAGTAAGGGAAAAGACTGGGTGGGGGATAAAGAGAAGAATGGGGATCAAGGCAATTATAGTTATCAGGGAAGCAGGTAAGAGGAAGGGAGTTCCACTGTCAGGAAGTGCAAGAGAAGAAGCTGTTGGCATAGAAGAGGCAGTTACATTTAACTATTTTGACAGTAAAAGTGTGGGACCGATATGCCAACTTAAATTCATACAGTTGGGGCACCCATGAAAATAGCTTGTCAGAGCAGAGGCCTAGAAATTATTTATAGAAAAGATAGAGGGAAGCCATATTACATCGGTGAGAAAGTGACTGGAGTTGAGATTCCAAATCAGAAACAATCACATTGCATATCAATCTTTAGATTTTGTCAAGAACCTTGAGATGAACAGCAGGGAAACCAGACCATATATGGCAACAGTATTGCATGCATGGACGAATGGTAGATTTGAAGGATGGACTTCTTTAGCAAGAGATTGTATATACGAGGCAAATGAGGTCTAAACTTGTCATCCACACAAATGGTCAAGGCATGGAGTGTTATCCAGAATGTAATTATTTATCATGACTGGAGAAAAGTCAGGGTCTGAATGTTGATGATGTAACAATACTAGCTTGGTTTGTTAAAGTATTGAAAACAACAGGCCAGTCATTTCCCATTGAGAGGTCTAGGTCAGAGGAGAGGTTAATTTCAAGGATCTGAACATCTTTGTTGGTAAGCAGTGGGACTTAGTCTCATAGTAATGAAAGCAGGGCAGTTTTTAAATCTGACATGGTTTAATGGATACAAGCCCAGAATGAGAAATCAGAGAACTGAGTTTGAATTCTAATCAGATTTGTTATATACTTTTATGTGCAAATACCCTTAGGAAAGGTATCTGTCTCATCCCCACACCTATGGGTCAAATAGTAGGACATGTATCTGGAAAAATCAGTTATTTTCAAAGAATTGTTAAAACAATATTCACTTACAAAAAAAAAAAAAAGGATTATTCATACAAACCAAAAATACATTTTTGGCTTTAAATAACCCACAAAATGCTAGTTCTAATCTCAACTAGGAATGACTGCAAAATAATTTTCCCCTCCCCAGTTTAGATGCAGAAGCACACAAATGCATGCTCGGATTTCTTCCTAGACAATAAAATGGGCCACTTCTTGGTTTTACATGACTCAGTCTTGATCTGTCTTGTCTTGAATTCAGATGGCTATGTTCGTTTATCTAAATTTGCTCTTCTATGTCAACCCCAATTCTTAGTTTTTGTTTCCATTTCACAGCTGATACTATCTTTTATACCATTTTTTTGCCATATTACTGTTGCTTTGCCTTATTAATGTTAATTGCATATATTATTTGCTTGCTTTATACTATTTCTTGTCCTGATCTTTTTTTTTTCTTTTTCTGGCTTATTAAAAACTTTATCAATTCTGTTAGGCAGTTCTGCCATTTATTTCCATTTAACCATAGCCACTCACTCTACAGTTGATAAACTGTAAAAAAAGAAATCAACCAAGCAATCCTAAGTGTGAGCACTGACAAAAAAAAATAAAAAAACTTTAAACCATTTTCATGAGCAGCATGATGTTACCATAACAAATGTTAACTTACTTTGAAGTCAAACATTCAAATCCAAGCAATTTTAATTTTACATATGTTTGTTTTAGCATGACAAGGTCAAGCATCAAGCCAAGTGACATTGTCTTTTATGTAATACAATTAATAAAATAGAAAGCTTTATAGTGACTCTGTACTTTGTCCATTTTCAAAAAATATTTTAAAATGTAGAAAAATATTCCTTAAGATTTTGATTCTAAACTTTTGCTTTATTCTTCTCTCTTTCTCCAGCGCTTTGTTACGGTTTCGTGGCTCTGGCTACAACATTCAACAGAGCTGTATGAGTGTGCGCATCAATTCCCTGGGGGACAAGATTATTGCCCTCCGTCGACGTCTTCCTCCTGTTCTCTACCAGTTTAATAATCCAAATCCCGTCTGTGAATTTGACCAACCTGGTTACTACAACTCTTGCACTATGAAAAGTTGCTGCTTTGCAGGGGACCAGGATCAGGTTAGTAATATTCAATATCAGCCTCTCTTTCATTTGATTCATTTCCAAGAACATTTTTGTTTACCTGGTAATTCTTGTCTTTCATTTCAACTTCACTGCTGAGCTGATACTATCTTTTGTACATTTTTTTTTTTTTCGGTAATTGCCTTTAACTGTTGCTGGTTGCCATATGATTGGTATGGGCATTAAGCTTTCTGTTGTAGAGTAGTTTTCACAGTGGAGGCTTGTATTTCACTAAATCGATCCTAAATTAGGTTCGACGTACAAAACGTTAGGAACTTGAAAATAATAGTCAATGACGCAGCAATCTAGTTGTGATGGTTGATACTTTAAGGTCCGACATCGACTGACTCACTCAACTCACTGGCTCCACTGGCGACTGCTACTACTACTACTTATCTGTGGGAGAGTCTATTTACAACAGAATAGGTACATTCCGGTATAACACTTTCAAAGACTATGTGATTTACAATTTGATTGCTTTTATGTGGCTTGACCTACATTCCAAATATCTTTTTTTTGTTTTTTTATTTTTTTTTCATTTTAAGAGCTTCTTTGTTGGGTTGAGAACTTTTCAGCACTTTTATGTACATTTTGCAATGCTCTGGTTTTGGGGATACTAGTTGGGAAAATTATAATTTCAGAATTATTTAAGGTAAATTTATAGAAAATTTTGGTGCATATACTATATTAAAAAAGTACATAAAAGTTCACAGTTTTTAGCTTTGAGATATGTAAAAAAAATATTTGGATACCAATAGCTTTTAAAAAGCCACATGACAATTCATGAGCAACTATCACCTCATATAAAAGTCTCCCATAAAAGTTTTTCTCACAAGTTTACTTTAAAAGTTCGCATGAAAACATCACACTGGAGAAAAACCCTTTCATTGTGTAGTGTGTGGAAATACCATTTCTTAGAAAAGTTTATTACAAAGTCATGTAAAAGCACATGAAAAAAGAAAACTGACTCATTCTTAAGAGTTTAAACGTAGAGCATATTTGCATACCTGTATGGGCAAATGTAACTTTCCCCAAGTGTTTTCTCTTTCTTTAGGGCATATTATGAAGATTGCACCACTGATTGTTTTCAAAGCTCTACCTGATTAACTAAGGTCAAGTAAATTCTAATTCAATATGTCTCTGATCTGTTGTTCGTGATTCTAATCAGGACTTTTATATTTTATTTAATTTTTTTTTCTTCTGATATTTGAATAAGAGTAGATACATTCACCTATCGCATGGTTCACACTGCTTCATCTTTTCAACGGGAGTAGAGGTTTTATCACTTGTTCCTTTTTTAGGATTGGGTTTCCAGTTCCTTCTAAATTTTTCTCATTCTCCTTCATTCAAAATATCCCCTTGCATCTTAATGGCATATCTCACATTGTTTGAGGTGAAATGATGAAAAAGAAAAAATTCTAACAATTCTTTGTGAGATATGTAGAAAATTTTAAACGCATTGTAAAATGACTCCATTAAATTTTGAATTTTAAAACCTATTATAACAACTGGTAAATTGTTTAATTTCAATACATTACACTTTGAGAACACTAAGATTCAAATGAAGCATGGAGAATAAAAACCAACGAAAATTTATATAAGTAATTCTGATTTATTTTACCTGATGCATTTTTTCAGCTGGAATTTTGTTTATTTCACTTCTTCTATTTTCACTTCTTTCTTTTAAGGTATTTGGAGCTTCTGTCTTCTTAATATTCAAAGACTACAAGTATATTTAATTTGCATACCAAGGTTTTTCTTTTATTAAATGTTCTACACGATATGGATTTACAATTTATGTCCAAAACAATAATTTCATTTCACCCTATTAATGTGTATGTGCTTCTATAAAGAAACATTGTCAGGACATGGGAAATCATGGCTCTCCACAACTTTCTTTCTATTATAATACTAAGCAATGTTTGACCTCTTACTATCACAATCTCTATTCTGCTATCTATTTACATAAGCTTGTTAGATATATGTTCTTTCCCTCTGTTCATTTTGCCTTCAGTATGTCCTGTGAGTGTCAGATTCCCTAAGCTCCCTTTCCTCATTATAAGTCCCAGAAATTCCAATTGTTTCTAAGCAAAAGTGTTTTTTCCGTTTCCAGTTTTCTTAAAGCTTCCTCATTTTTTACATGTTCTATCCATGGTATTCTCAGTATTCTTCTGTAGAACTGTGTCTCCATTGCCTCAAGTTGCTTCTTCATCTGTTTGAAAATTATCCAGCATTCACTATCCTATTATGTAGCAGTTCCGTAGACTTTTCTTTGTTTCCTGTTTTTTAATATTTTGCTTAATTTCTGAAAGACATCTTGATAATTTACAAGTATATTTTCAGAATAACTTTCTTTATTTAATAAACATATTTTTATTTATTAAGCTTAGTATAGTACAAGTGCGGTACCTGTGAGGATTGAGCCTGCTATATGAGCCTATCAGACTAGCTTGCTGAACAATCACTCTAAACCAATTGCCTCTTTAGCTTAGTCTGGTACAAGGCCACAACAGTTGAGCATCTAGTGAGGATCAAACTCACTTGACTATTGAAATTGTGTGTAACTAAGTTGGTAACTATTACACTTGGTGGTAAGTGCCACCTTATATTTTTAAGAATTAGCTTAAACACCTTGTGAAGATCATACTTGCTTAATGATTAATCGTCTCTGTGAGATGGGCCTGCTAACCCTGGTTCCACAGCTAGGGACACAAAACAATTTTGCTGTTCTTGTTAAACATGACTACCAAAAGAAGAGCTTAAATAGTTGATAGATTATGGATGTTTCGTTTCAATCAAATTCATATCCTGGTTAATTTGCTAATTGATAAAACATCCTCATTTCTGTTCTTAGGCTGTTTAATTTAACTGCATATCAACCCTTGTTGGGTTATTTAATGTTAAATACAACTCTTATATGACAAAAATCCTAATGAATTAAAGATAGTTATAATCTTTGTTTTTGCACCAGTCAAAGAGGAAGGCATCGGTTCCATTTTTACATCAGAATCAAAAAGGCAGGCGTAGGGCATTTTTTTACGCCCGAGTCAAGAAGGCAGGCATAGGGCTATTTTTTACGCCCGAGTCAAGAAGGCAGGCATAGGGCTATTTTTCACGCCCGAGTCAAGAAGGCAGGCATAGGGCTATTTTTCACGCCCGAGTCAAGAAGGCAGGCATAGGGCCAGTTTTAACACTCAAATCAAGAAGGCAGGCATAGGGCCAGTTTTAACACTCAAATCAAGAAGGCAGGCATAGGGCCAGTTTTAACACTCAAATCAAGAAGGCAGGCATAGGGCCAGTTTTAACACTCAAATCAAGAAGGCAGGCATAGGGCCAGTTTTAACACTCAAATCAAGAATGCAGGCATAGGGCCAGTTTTAACACTCAAATCAAGAATGCAGGCATAGGGCCAGTTTTAACACTCAAATCAAGAATGCAGGCATAGAGCCAGTTTTAACACTCAAATCAAGAATGCAGGCATAGGACCTGTTTATTCTTGAGACTGAGTATTTACCCAAAATGTGGCTCATTTGTGGGAAGCACCTTACCACTCTGCAAAGGATGCCTTCAGCTTATTCTCACCAACAGGGAAATGTTTTTCTTTTCAATTCATATATCCAATATTATACAGATGCTTGAATCTCTTGTTTGCACAATCGCTGTTTTTTTATATAATGTATTGGTCCATTCATTCTCCAGCCTTCATTCGGTGTAAATCCATTAGGAAAATATTTTTAAAAATTACCAACAGAAATTGTTTGTTACTAAACCCACTGACCTAGTCTATTTTCACAGCATCAGCTCTACCAATTATCCAGGCAATTCCAAATTACACCAAGGAGGGGTGAGCTAACAAATACCATCTTTGCTAAGCAAAGAAAATCACATAGTTGAAGTTTATACTAGATTGTCTAACACCTGATCAGTAGGGTAATACATGCCACCTCCTCCAACATCTTCACTCCCCAACAATGCTTTCTGTCATTTACCTAAAGTGGGTAGGGTGTACCCTTCTCCCCACTCCCAGATAAGGTCTGCTATATCAGATCCCCCCCCCACTTACTTAGCAGCAACTATATAAAGAAGGACACCCAGTATTTGAAAAATGTTCGATATGTGTTTCATTAAATTTTGTTTACTTTCATTTATTTTTATTTATATTTTTTTTTTATTTTCAAGTATATTTTATCTGGTTCTGATGATTTCAACTTGTACATGTGGAGAATTCCTGATGATTTGTCCAAATGTAAGTATCAAATACTTTCTTTTTTAATATTAGTGTTTGATTTCTTAGGAGCTTTGAATAAAAATATGATATATGTTATTCTGCTTTCACAACTGAATACATGGTAGATGATGCTCGACTTTTGTGCATATACATGTTTTGTGAACATAATTACTAGAGGCGGCAATATGTGTGTTTTATGTTGTAGTTTTGTTGAAGTTATATTTTGGAATACAGTTCATTTTAAGAAATTGTCGAATATATGGATTAATGTTATGAAAGGGTTCTTTCATGTTGGTTTTGTTTAGTGACATATCAACACTTCTATGGGTTATTTAATACCAAAATCTAAATAATCTGAACATAATTTTATGGCTTCAACTAAATATATTTTGATCAAAATTGTTTATTTTCAACTACAGATAAAATATATTGTTGGTCATTTTGCTTTAAAAATGTATTGGTCATTTTACTAAAAATATGTATTGGTAATTTTTTTATATAAAAATGTATTTTTATACTTTCATAGTGTTTTGTTTCTGTGGGGTGGGGAGTTCACTATTTGCCCACAGCTGGGACCTTAACAGCTGCTACCATCCCTGGGAACAACAGCAATTAAGAGGTGGTTTCATGCTCCACAAAACCTCCAATCTCCCAATCAGAGAACTTGCTGCTGGATGTAGTTTATCATCATACCCAGAACTGAGTATTAGTGTTTACATTTTGATTATCTTTTACTTGAATAATATTCGTATTGTATATTATTCTTCTATCAGTTACAAGTGCTGCATCACACATTCTGAACGACTTCTAATTTGCCGTAATTTTTAGATAATAAAGAGATTCATTGAAATGTTTACATAATTAATGTGCCAGATAGTTCTTATGTTAACCTAAATGTGGCGCAAGGCTGAAAGTATGGGCAACCAGTGAAGAACAATGATTTACAAAGTGAAACTTAGATGTAGCAAGCTTACTAACTATTACACCACTTAAAATGCCATTTTAAAATTTGTGGCAGTAAATACCAAATTACTATAAAGTAGAGCTGGGGCTTTTTAGTCTCTTCATATTAATTTTATTTACTTAATAAATTCTTTCCATTCCAAATGTTCTATTTCTATTTTCCCATCTTTACATGAAATAAAAATAATTGTTGTACGGAAAATAAAAGATCTACGTATATCAAATTGTCTTTAAATTAAATGGCAGTAGAAGAATTATCGTTGAACTTTTTTTAAAGGTAAGCTTAAAAATTAATTCAATACTTAAATGCAGCGATCAATTTTGAGTTCTTCTGTAGTTTATTGATGCCTATCGCATCTACTCCTCTATACAGGAACTAAAAATAAATACTATTCTGATGGTGGCCAAACCAAAAAGTAGCCACAAAATTTTAATCTAGTTGCAATTTTGGATACAAAAGGAAAATAACAGTTACTCCTCTTGAATCATGAAAGCAATGATAATGGTTAGTATAATATATTAATATATATTTTAACCTCGCATAATCTGGCAATCCTGAATCTGAACTCAACGAAAATCGTTCCCTTGCCTAACTTTTCTAGGGCTTTTGAATGAACTATGAATCATTGAAATCGGATCAGTGGGAAACAAACACATACACTGTACTTTATACACACACACATAATATATATATGTATGGATAAGATATATATAGAGAGAGAAAAGAGATAAATAAATACATACATTTTATCTAATGAACACATAAGATTCAAAGAAACAGTCACTTTGTTGAGTATTCAAGAGAATATGTCCACATTATCTGTCTATCAACCAGAAATTAATCCCCTCTCTCTCTCCCCACCTGTCTATTCTATGTTCCTCAATAAATTCAAAAATATGATAATAAATATATATTTTTTCTCAGCAACAGACAAAAACGTCGAAAACAAATATATTTTATTATTATTAATCTAAAACTCCGTTTATTTCACCATTTATTACCATCTGCATGCATTGAGCTGAATATAACGGATTATAATTTCAATTTAAAATTATTAACGAGGTTTATAAAATTTTAAATGTTTTCAAATTATTTTTTAATTAAATTTATATTTATATATATATATATATATATATTATATATATATATATATATATATAAATAATATATTATATATAAACTTTTTTGTTCCAAATCATTTAAAATATTATTATGTGTCAATGTGTGTATTTGTTCTCGCGTGCGTGGAGAAAAATAGGTCTTAAGAGGATTGTCTTTTTATTCTTAAATTTTGAATCGAATTTCAAAATTATTAGTAATAATAAAACTTTTTTTTTAAAACTTATCCTTGATGGTAACTGGTCTGCGGCAGAAAGAAATGGCACTTACTCCATCAAAAACTTCTTCCTTATTGTTGTAATAAAACATACATTCTCGCTTTTGTTCCTTCACGCATGGTAAATTAAACTGAGCCATATATATATATAGATAAAGATGTAAATAGATTCCTAGATAATTTTTTTTTTTTTTTTTTTTTTTTTTTTTGAATTTTCAATTAATATATAAAAAACGGAGTAAAACTAACAGTATAAGTGTTTTGAAAAAATACAGAAATATATATATACACAGATAATTTAACCCACTGAAGATGGTCTTTGAGACTAAAAGTAATTTTTTTAAAAATTTGATTTGAAAATAATATTTTGTTATTTTTTTTCTCAATTTTTCTATGGCTACCAAGAAATTGATTCGTAAACTCAAAAAGTTTAAAACATGAAATAAACATATTAACAAGAGTATAAAATATGTATTTTCAACAAACAATACTCAGATATTATTATCTTTCTGCAATTAAATGAAACATTTTCGAACCAGCTAGACGCAGTAGAGGACGAAAATTATTAACTTATAATTTTTTTTAGAATTGTCGTTCAGCTGTCTAATATACGAGGCCTGATCAAAAATATCGAAAGATATACAGTGGGAAAAAAATATTCGTAAGTAAAATTTTTTTTTAAATTTATTATATTTCAACTAATGAATAAATGTACTTTTCATCTATTTAACTCTACACATATGTTAATAACTAAATATTCATTTTGTAAACTCTTAAATTGATTTGATAAAATAAAACCCATTTATTCATTTTTTTTTTTTAGTATTTAAAAAGTATTATACAATGGAAAATTTAAATTAAAACTTTTAAATAGTTTAATTCATCTAAATTATTCCATGGAATAAACATAGAATATTCTAATATAAATGTTATCAGTAGTTATTTTGAGATAAAAATACATAACACAACATTCTATAATTTTTCATTAATAAAAATTATTCTTCCATGGCAAGAAGTGAAGAAAAAAGTATTCAAAAAAAAAAAAAAAAAAAACTAGGAAGAACGTAAAATTTATATATATATAAAATATTTGAAACCTGAATATTCCATTTAGTTCCATTAATTCATTCATTGCAAGATATTAAAAAGAAAAAACTGTTGAAAACCAAAAAACAGGTGCACCACGGAAGATTTCTGCAAAATTCTTATAGGAAATTTTGCGTCAATTAAAACAGAAATCCAATGGTTATTCGTCAAGAGTTTCAGGATAATTTGCTTTCATCAGGAATCTGTGTCACTAAACGGATAATAAAAAATGAAAATCATTTTTAATTTAAAAAGTCGCGAATCAGTTCTAAAAAAAATAAAAAACTGGGGTTTCATTATGAATGTGAGAATTTTAGGTTGATATTCGTTCGTGAACATATTTGGATAAGGATTAATCGTATTGGGAAAATCTATTATGGACAGATGTAACCAAAATTTTGTTTGGATTTAATTTCTTGAAATACTGTATGGATTCTGATGGTCACCATTCAAAAAAAAAAAAAAAAAAAAAACAGTTTTTTACAGTTTAATTTGATGGTGACAGCATCATGGTTTGGAGATTTTTTTCATTATGTCAAAAAATACTCTTACAACATATCAGTAATAGATGATAGAATAATTCCGCAAAAAATATCACAATATTTTGGAAGCAAATTAATTTTCAAAATAAAATCTTGAAGAAGATAATAATCAAATCAAAATAAAATCTTTGTTATTGTTTATATTGCTGAAAATAATATAAATATATATATATATAAATCAATCCCCAGATTTAAACCCAAACTAGAATCTGTGGTGTTATTTGATAATTCAAATCCAATCAAAACATCCCAGACCTGAAGAACATCTAAAATTTGCAAAATCATTAATAGAGAACTACAATTAGAGGTTGGTTGTTGTTTTTTGAATAAAAACTATTCTACAAAGTAAATAAAAGGTTATGTATCCTTTTTATTGTCCAATATTTTTTTAATTATTAAATTGGATAAATGGGATTTATTGCTTTTAAAACAAAAAATTCTTTTTCTGTTTTATCTGTGTATTTAATGATGATGCCTTTAGAACAGTTAATTATATGTCCTGTTTGTTTATTCATTAGCTGGAAATACAATAAATTAAAAATGTTATGTGTTACGAATATTTGTTTATATATTTCATGTATAAAATTCAACTATAAACACCTAAATTCGGTATTTAATCTCAATGCCACTATGCACATTTTATCCAGCGTTGTTTCCATTGATGGAAGATTTCCTATATATATTTTATATATAACGAGCAGTTTTCTTGTATTTTTTAGATTTCTTCGACGCCTTGAAATTTTGTCCCTTTTATATATACCTCAATATATATAGTGCTGGTGTTAATAATAAAGTATATATATATAATATATATATATAAACAAGTCTATTGTAAAACACAACCGAAAACAAATTTTATTTCAAAGTGATTGTTTGTGTTTTGGGAAAGAAAAAAATCATATATGAGTTATAATCTTATGTAATGATTTATTGTCGGACATAAAAATAAATTGACCAAAATATATTTGAACCAAAAATCTTCAAGTTTTTCTCTCTTATGGTCACATTGAACCTCTGTAAAAGGTGGAGAATGACCACAAATTACACACTTTCCTTTTTTTTTTTGCTATAAACAACATGATATGGACAATAATCATTTATAACTTAAAAAAAAAATACGCACAATTTATTTAAGGTCAAAATATTCTTCATGTCTTCATTCTGTGATTCAATTTTTAAAAAAAAACAACAAATCCAGATTTTTTGAACATTTTTTTGTTCTTATATATGATAAATTTTATGCTATATTTTTTTTGATAAAGTGTTCAATATCAATATAAACAGCGTAAAAAAAAAAAAAAAAATAAATTTAAAAATGTGGATATTTTGTCAAAGTCTCAGCGGTGAAAATTTGTTTCTTAAACGCAATAAAAGGCTTTCCCAATCGAAGATCTGACGATTATATATATATATATATAAACAGACTATATAATTAGTATATTTTGAAATTAATTCTAACCAACAATATATTCTTATATATATATATATATATATATATATATATATATATATAATTATTTTTTATAAAAAAATTATAACATAAGTATGTTATAAAATCACTACAAAAATAGCCATTTTGTTTCAACACACTCTGTGTCTTATCAAGTGATGATGTTGAAAATAAAATAAATGGTTTTAAAAGTTTCAGATTAATTAACGATCCTACACTAGGGGAAACATTGTTACAAAAGCTAGAATAACCAATCAAAAACGAAGTATAGAAAGATTCAAAAGCTTGACAACGAAATCATGTTATAATAGCTATTCAGATCTTTAAAATACGTGTAATATTAAAAATAATTTATACTAACCAATAATTATAAAATTATATGATAAAATTTAATATTAAAATTAAAAACTGGCAATTTTAAAATCCAAATTTAATCACTATTAAGTTTAAAAACTACAAAATTATTGAGAAAAAAAAATATATATGTTTATTCAATTTATTTCTTCATTGAAATTATGTTCGACAAGACAAAACGCTACAATATATCCGGTCATTTGATAATACATGTATATATATATTTTTTTTTTTTTTTCATTTCCGTTTTATTTTAAAGTTTGTGAATGTGGTCTTAAACTCACGCGTCAAAACAACAAAAAACACAATCAGATTATAATACATAAGCACCCAGACATAATTAGATATATACACACACACACA